GAGAGGATCCAGAGGGATCGTTTGTCCAATGCCTGTCACTTCTACCTGTCATTTCTCCCCTACATACCTTGTCAACCCCACAGGGCAGGATCGGTGTCTGTAGCCGCACTGACTGTGGCACGGAAGGTGCTGAGTAAATCATGAATAGGAGTATTAATCAGATGGGCACAAATCAATGCCCTAGAACTGTCGTCTTTGCCATCAGCATCCAGTCTTCCCCACCACTGGCTTGGTGTCTGGGGCATAACTGGTTTTCAGAATCTGTTGAATGAATGAAATTAATGAACCAGAAATAAAGGAGTGTTTATTCCTTTATGTGTTTTGGAGAGACATGGGAAACTTAGGAAATAGGCCCAACCTTCTCCTATTTGTTTGTAAAGAGGAGTTGTTCATTGAAGAAAAATGGCTTTGAAGGATTGAGAGCTCTGTGGGGCCAGACTTGGGGGCCTGACCCAAAGTCATGGGGAGTTTAGGGCACACATCTCGCTCAGCTTCTGCAAAAAAGGAAAACGGGTCAGGCTTTGTGCGAACTCCCTGCGAAACAAGAGCTGTTTTCAGGGCCCAGGAACACGCTCTGTCCCATGTTTAATTTCTTCCATCTGTCTGGTATCTGACCTCTGCTGCCCTCTAAGCCATTGCCACACATTGTCTGCGCGTGTTCCCATATAAGGTGATCTCTCTCTCTCTCTCTCTCTCGCCCCTCTCCTCTCTCTCTCTCTCTTCCCCTCTTTCTGGGGGTTGGACAGCAGCAGCAGCCCTTGCTTCCTCCACTCTGTTCTCCCTCTCTTAGCCTTTCTGGCAGACTCTGCAGTGAGGCTGGATGGATGGAGAGCACAGAGGGGCAGGGGGCTGCCAAGGAATGTGGCAGGTTTATTTTTGTCTGGGCTACATTCTTGCCAGGGCTGCAGGCCCCGGCCACTTGGGGATGTCACATGCCGATAAGACAGTGGGGGTGACTGAGAACTGTGGCTTGAATCTGCAACACCCCAGGTGTGAGCCTTCGTCACGGGGTGGGGGCGCTAGGAGGTGGGGTTGGCAGAGACTCTGAGGTCATGGAACTTGGCTCTTCCCACTGCCCTTGTCTGACTCCCAGATGCGTTTGCTCCGTCAGAGAAGCTATTGCAGAAATAGAGATTTGTAGCCACTTAGACCCCACTCTAGGTAACACCCAACATCCGCAGCAGAGCAGAGCAGAGTTGGTGTCAAGGTGAGGTCATTTGCTGTGTGAGCTTGGGCCTGACCTCTCTGACTTTCCTTATGTGTCAAAATAGTTTCAGCAAATTACTGGAAATCCTTCTAGTGAGGTAGTGAAATGTAAACTTGGTGAGGGCAGGGATTATTGTCTGTTTTGATCTCTGTTTCACCAGTACCTGGAATACTTTCTGGCACATATTAGGTGCTCAAATAGGTATTGAACAAATGAAGTGAGGTAATGCCTTTAATTGATAGCTGTTACTACTTATTCAATAACAACAGAGGTTTATCAAGCACCTATTCTATGCCAGCCCCGTTAGGTGCTGGGGCTAGTTGGTGAACAAGAAAGACAAGGTCCCTACCCTCAGGGGGCTTATATTCTGTTGGGGGAGATCTCTAATAGAGTAAATTGAGCTTAGAGATTACTAAGTGCTATGGAAGAAAGTTAGAAGGAGGTGAGTGAGAAGTGTTGTTCAAACCTTTCATTATGACTCAGCCGAAAATGTGTTTATGGTGTGACCCAGTGAACCCACATGAATGTTTAGTAAATGGAAATCAAACTTTCACAAATCAGTTGTGGTCAATTATCTGCAAAGATGTCTGCCAACAATTCAGCAAACACCATTCTTGGCCTGTACAGCCATCCCTCGAGCAGCAAGCAGAGTCCATTTTCCTTTCTTGGAATCTGGGCAGGTCTGAGAACTTACTTTACCAGGAAAACCTCTGGGCACTGTGCTTGTGCTGGGTCTCACCTTCCAGAGGCCTGAGGGCTTTCGCTTTTGTGCCCTTGGTACCCATCTGTCACATAAGGAAGCTCAGGTCAGACCCCCGAGGGACAAGAGACCATGTGAAGAAGTGGCAGCCCACTCTGATGCCCCGGAAGGAGGGAAGCCATCTTGGGTATTCTAGCCTCAGACAGGCCCCTACTAAATTCAGACACAGGGTTACCCCAACCAATACCACGTGGAGCGGAGCTGCCCAGCCAAGCCCTGCTAGCCCGCAGACTTGTGGGAGGAAAGGGATTCTTTTAAGCCAATACATTTGAAATGGTTTAGTAAGCGTGGAAATATTTACTCTTATTCTTTGGGATATATTCTATTTGATTTTGTTTAAAAAATGTAATCAAGACCTGCTAAATTGATTTTAATACCTGCTAATAGGCAGTGATAGAGAATGACTGGTCAATGATTCACTTTGAGGAAGGAGGTCAGAAAAGGCATCGCTGATGAAGGATAGTTGAGCTGAGATCTTGAATGAGGAGCAGGAGCCAGATTAGGGAAGATCTAGCAAGAACAGCCAGACAGACAAAAGGCCTGTGCAGAGGTCTCGAGGCTAGGGTGTGTGTGGTGTGTCTGAGCAACGTAAGGGAAGCCTGTGGTTGGGAATAGAGAGAGAAGAGAGCCCTGAATGCATTAGGTCTTATGCCTTGAGATGCCTGGGGCCTCAGCTAGAGGGAGCAAAGGCCTAGGGTGTGTGGTTGACCTCTCAAGACATGATAACTCATCATTTTTTAAAAATTGGGGTGAGATTCACGAAACATAAAATTCACCATTTTAAAAAATTATTTTTTATTTATGCATACAAGAGCTGGGGTATAGGCCAGAGGTGCAGGGGGTGAGAGGATTCACCAGAGAGAGAGTGGAGAGCAGAACAGGTGGATCTACTGAAATACACTGCTGAGGGGAGCAGCGGGGAGACAGGAGAGGTCTGCTGTGCACTGGGGGTCAGCTCCCTGGCCAGGGATCGAACTTGTGCTGTAGTGGCTGGCAATAGCTTCATAGTGCTAAGACTTAACCCCTTGCACCACCAGGGAGGCTCTTTACCATTTTAAAGGGAACAATTCCTTGGCATTTATCACATTCACAGTATTATGCAGCCATCATCTAGCTGCAGAAGACTCCATCACCCCAAAAGGAAATTCTGAATTTTCTTATCCACGAAACAGTTGCTGTGCATTCTCCTCTCCCCCGTCCCCTGGCACCCCCAATCCTGGCTCTATGGGTTTGCTTTATCTAGATGATTTCATCTGCATGGATCACACACAGGGTCTGTGTCTGCTTCATCCGTCAGCATCATGCTTTCACAGCCCTCCCTGTTGTCACATGTGTCAGCACCTTATTTCTTCCTCTGGCTGAAGAACTGTCGACTGTCTGTTCATACCACATTTGTTCAGGCATCTCTCCATTCGCCCATCATCCTGATTCCATAATCCTACCTCTAACCTTCTTATAGACCTTGATTTGACGTCATTGGCGCAGGAGGGGGAACAGGTTTTGGCAGCATGAAGGAGAAAGCCAATTTGTGCCCTGCTGCTCCTGGCCTTTCCTTGTCCCCTCCCATCAACCTTTCCCTGCTGCTTCTAAGCTTCCTGATGGCCCCAAATGCAGCTCTACTGCTGGTTACCCTTAAATACTCCCCCCTGAATTCTATAAATACACCAACACTCAGCTGGGAAAAAAAGAACTTGAAAGGCATCTGAAATGAAAATACATTTTTTCCCATCATCAGCCAAGTGTTTTCTCTCCATCTCCCCCTCTTGGCTTCTGAGATAAGTGCTTGGATCTCCAGCCCTTCTCCCTACCTGGGAAGGAAGAGGCTCCTCAGCAGAGCCCTTGTAGGCAGAGAAAGCCAGATGGCGTGTGAACGCAGCCTTCCCACACAGAAAATCCCTTTCCTCCCACGTCAGCAGCCAGATAGATGGTCCTTCTTGCAGACTTTACAGAGCCGGTTTTAAACCAGTTTAGTAGGTTGATAAAAATGGCTTTGGGACCCAGACCCACCATGCCTCAGTTTCCTTAAAAAAAAAAAAGCAGAAAAAATAATATTGTTCTGACAGATTTGTCATGAAGATTCAATGAGAGGATGCGGTGGAGGCAGTGTGCTGGGATGAAAATAGCCCCAACTCCAGGCCACACTTGGAACTTCTGGGAGGGAGCCAAGATGGCTTGGAAAAACATGGGCACAGACTTGGTGAACTCCATAAGGCCATTCTGCCTGTCGTTCATGGTATCATGCAACACATAATTCAATTTCTAACTCATTCAGTCTGCCCCCTCCAGCTCTCCACTCCTCCATTTACTTCCCTGCTGGGAGCCCAGTCAGCTTGGATGGGGTGGGCCTGGTGGTCCCTTTGGCACCCCAGTAATGGGAGGCCAGGTAGGGATCATAGGGTAGGTGGAGAGTGGGGTGAAGACTGGCTGCCTCTAAAGGCTCCTGGGAGGCAGCCTTCTCCCTGAGCTCTTCTGTGAACCTCTGGTGCCCATACCCTTTCTTGCTGCTGATTCCAGCCTAGAATAGGAGTGGCTGCCTTTGTGGGTTTTCTAAGCCCCGCCCACATCTATATAAATAGTCCTTTATTCAGCTGTCTCCTTTGCCCAGAGTGCGCCATCTTTATGGGGCCGGGAAGCTGACTGCTACAGAGCTTACCCACTTAGCCCATGACTGGATCTGCAAGAAGAAGTGTATTATTTAATAATCCACTGAAATCCAACTCCCAGCTGGCACTCTGCCCCTGCTGTACACATATCCTGGGTCCCTGAGTCCTTTCCCTGCAGAGCTCTGTCAGTGGCCTACCCTCTCCCCCTGCCACAGGGGTCACCCCCTGCCCCAGGTTGCCTGGCCTTTTTGGCCCGGTGGCATCAAGGCTTCAATGTCAGTCTTGTGAGAAGAGTTCTGGGCATACTTCAAGCCACTGGGCTCTCACTGTGGCCTCCCCGGGCATTTCTGCTCTCTTAGAAGCTGCCCAGACTTACCACCCCCTGGTCTTTCCCAGTCTTCTTAGCCTCTTTCTTCTCTCCTTATTCTAGAAGGAACTTCCCTTCTCCACCAACCCCCCTGGAGGACCAGCAGTACCATCTCCCTCAAAGACTTCAGAACTTTACAAAAAAGAAAAGGACAGCTTTTGATTTCAACTTGCGAAACTCAAGGCAGGGCACATTGTTTCCAGAGGAGGGGAAACAGAAGGAGAACACACATAAATGAATATTTTAATAAATTCTGAAACATATGTGACATATTTAACATGGTTCCTGACATACAGTAAGTACTCAGTAAGCGGTGACCTGGTTTTTTGTTCTTAGCCCAGGAAGAACGCTGGGAGCCTCCTATATTTCAATCCTGCCTGATAACCAGGGAGTTACTATGAATTACATACTATTTTGACAGCTCTGCATTGCCCATTAATTTCACAAAACCCATTAAAAAAACCATTTGACAAAAATGTAGTACCAGGCATACATTTAATAAGACCTCCGGCATCTCATCCATTCAGTTGAATGTTTCACATATAATCTGTCTGGTTACCTTTTAGAAAAGCACATTCTGCCCCTGAACATACCCACAAGAGTAAACTGTCAGAGCAGACAATTTAGGATATCTGCACCATTCATTTCAGGTTTCTGTTTAAATTTAATTTCTTTTCTCTCCAGGTAACCTAGATGGCAAAGGCATTAAATGACGATGAATGGGTATCAGAATAACCCACTTCTGAATGTCTTCCTGAACCTGGGTCATTTTCCCCAACTTTAAAAGAATGAGATAAGTGGGCAGCATGCAGAGTAGCCGCAGATGGGATCTCATCTTGACAACTGGCATTTGCTGAATACTCGTGCAGCATCCAGAAATATCTCCTGGTCAGAATGAAAGGTCTAAATTTAATACCAAAACCAGAAAATTGGCTTGGCTTCCCTGTACTTTGCACAGGAAAGTTCTTGTTTGGAACTTCTGACATGAGAAGGGACTGGGGATATTATGTCCATGGCATCGTCAGGTATTTGTAGACCTCACGGGTCTGCTGTGAGCTGAAGACCTAATTTGGCCCACTGTGGAAGCCTGCACCAAGGAAAGATCACATGTTGGATGGGAAGCAGGGAGAAGGTTTGCCAGGAGAGAAACTCCACACAATAGGTACAGGTTCATTTCTTCCTCTTCTCGTTTTGCTTACCAGGCCTGAAGGACACACTACCTTTTCTGACAATCGGTTTGGGACATCAGTTGTTCATGTTTACACAGCATTTATTACCTTTGGTAATAGAATTCAGCCCTTCCTTTTGGGGAGTCACCCTCATCCCGTCTATTATTATGTCAATAAGAGTCATATCAACTGATTCAAGAATGGACTGACACACTTCAGACCAATGAGAGATGGCCCTGAGAATTTGCTAGAAGTATTCGAAGAAAAGATTCTTTTTTTTACTGAGGTTGCTAGGTTGGAAGAATGAAAGTCTGTTGCTACTAACAGCCCATTCAGAAGAAAGTGCAATAAGAGACAGAGAGAAGGAGAGTGTCAAGAGACCATCATTGAGTTCCTAGATCAAGCCATACCTGAAGGTAGGGATAACCTTAGACTTCACAATTACATGAAGTAATGGCTCTTCTTAATTTTATCTTATACTAAAAGGAGTCTTTAAAAACACACTAGACCGGGTGATTTCTCCCCCTTTGAATAACCAGAAAGAAGGTCACGACTGTGGATGGTTCTTGCAGTAACTACATGGTGAAATAAAGGAGTTGCAGGGGGCAGTTTCTGGTTCCTTCCTCACCTCCCCTGCGCCTCTTCCCCACCCTCTTCTCCACTGGAGACCAGTGAGCATTTAACAGCACATTTCCACGGAACAGCATCTTCTTATCAGGGGACTTCAGGTGAGAAACATATTGGGAATTTTAGTGTTTTATTATCAAGGGACAAGTCAATTTCAGCTATAGTCTGTAGTCACAACCTTAAAGCTCTAGAGAATCCACAACCTTGGGTCCTGCAGTCTATTATCATAGGCACCCAAGAGGCCAAGTTAACAGACATTGAAATGAAAACACTAATCCAAGAATGAATGCCCCTGCCCCACTGACCCACACCGCTGACCCTATTCATCTCAGCCAATGGAAGTGCTTTACCCATAAAGGAGCGATGTACACGAAGGTTCTTAGCACCAAAAGGTAGAAAAAATTCAATAAAGGTTGATTATTCTGCCATAAAATGGAGTGAAGTACTGAGTGATGCTCCAACATGTGTGAATTTTGAAAACATGCTAAGTAAAAGAAGCCAGACACAAAGAGCCTCATATATTATGGTTTATATGAAACGTACAGAAAAAAGCAAATCCATAGACAAGGAAAGCAGATTACTGGTGGCCAGGCCCTGGGAAGTGCTGGGGTTTTTTCCACAGCAAACTGGGAGATGATGGCTAAAGGGAAGGGGATTTCTTTTAGGGACAATGGAAATGTCCTGAAATGAGAGAGTGCTGATGGTTGCACAATTTGGTGAGTGCTAAGAGCGCCTAAACTGTTCACTTTAAAAGAGCATGATGTCTGCTGGTAAATTATATCTTAGTAAAGCTATTTAGAAAACAAATGCATCAGAGTAGGAATGGGAATCTTTCAGGAGAGCTGTCTCCCATCACCAGGACTTCCTGTCAGCCATTAAAAATGGCAAATGGCGTGCAGCCAAGAGAGTTTACAAGGAAGATTCTTAGGGAAAGGCATCTTTACATGCATGGTTTGATTTGTGATTAGAAATGTCTTCCCAGCAGTGTCTTCACAGTTGTTGCTGAGAAGTTTCTCCTGGAACCCCATGAACCTCCAAGGTTTCAACTTAAGTGAATCAGAGCGAGGCAGCAAGACTTCCTTTGGCCTCAGATAGGCAGGGACTCAGTATGGACAGTCCCTTCCGCGTCTCTTTCTTTTTGCTAACTTCTCAGTATATGGAACCCAGGAAGCATGTTAACTGGCCTCCAATTCTTCTCTGTTCCAGAGCAACCACATTAAGGATAAAATCCATTCAAGTTTGAGTGCGAGTGGATTCCGTTGCTTACTAGAATATACACAGGATTGCATCTTCGTAACTGAAAATATAGTGTTTCTATGACAGCATCGACAGGCAGAGGAGGAACTAAAAACTACTAGGTATGACGGTGTTATCTTTCTATAGCCTACATCTGTAGATCCTATAGAAGCAGTCATCTAATCATTGCACTTTTTAAAAAAGAAGAAAAAACGGTAAAATGTCCTTAGGTCTTCCAATGTCAGCTACTATTCTAATCACTTTACCTGTATTAACTCACTTCATTCTCTCATCTGCCCTTTGGGGAAAGTATTTTTCTAGCCACATTTTTATTTTTTAAGATTTATTTATTTTTATACAAGCACTGGGGTAAAGCCAAAGGCATGGGAGGGTGAAAAAATTCACCAGAGACAGAGCATGGAGCAAAACAGGCAGACAGACCAAAGACACTGCTGAGGGGAGCAGCGGATGAAACAGGAGAGGTCTGCCGCACCATGTGGGTAGCTCCCTGGCAGGCCGGGAATCGAACCGGCACTGCAGAGGCTGCCGACAGCTTCACAGCGCTGCGCTCAACCCGCTGTGCCACCAGGGAGGCCCTAGCCACATTTTTAAAAAGAGGAAACAGAAGCCCAGAGAGAGGAGGCCATACAAGGTAGACCCAGAATTCAAGCCCAGGCATCCAAGAGCAGCTGCCCACCCAGCCCACAGACGCCACGAATCAGTCCCTTGTGTAAATCTTTGGTTGTTTCTCCCAGTTATTTGTTCAAGATTCCAAGCGCTGCCTCCTACAGTTGCTCTTGAGTGTCTGTGAGCCGGGATGGGTCTGTCTGCTCTCCAAGTACCTTGCAGGGGCACCTTGTCTTGATAGTTCAATCATCAGAAGGCAGTCAGCCAAGAACCCGACCTGGAATGTTCTGTTCCCTCTGCCTGAAAACCTCCCCCACACTTTCCTATTTCACTAATCCTTAAATATCACTTTGTCTGATGGAACTGTCTGGAGAGTATGGCCCCCTTGAGCCACAAAATTGGGACCTTTCAGCTGGGTGCTGCATCACTGGCTGCTTTTTTAATATAGCATTTAGCATTGTTGTATTGGTGTTACTCAGTCAGATGTCTCCCCTCCTGCACCAGACTGTCAGCTCTGTGACCAGGTCGTGACCAGGTGGGTAAGTCCTGCTCTGCAGTGCCTTCCTAGCGCCAGTGTGGGCATGTGGGGAGAGCCTCATGAGGAATTTGTTGTTCTAAGTCGATGCTCAATCTGTAGTTGGTTTCTTCTAAGATGTCTAAGCAGGCAAGTCAATTTTCAGAGTGTAAGGAATTTCACTTGTTTTCCCTTTTTTTCATTGCCAGCTGACATCATCTCCATTCTAATAGGGGTGCTTTCAAAACACTAGTCACTACCTCAGGTCTCCCCCAGGCGGCTGGGACCATCCTGGGGTTCCTTGTCAATCCTAGTTTGAGTCTCCCGTGATGGGTATGAAGACCTTACTTCTGCCTGCCCCACAGTGACCTTCACGAAGCCACAAGGAGGGCTTCATTTATGTCCGCAGGTGCCTAAAAGAGGCGCTCGTGGAGTCTTCAGGCCATTGATTTTTTTTTTTTTTAGGTTCTCAACTTTTTTTTTAATTACTGGATTAAAAACAGTTTAATTCCCAGTACAGACGACGTGACACAGAAGCTGCTCTCTCTGTGCAATGTCTCCTTTTTTCCATCCTCTGCAATCGTTCCTACGCGTAACCGCATATGCAGACACTTGGGTCAAAATCCTAAACGTGAAGCCCAAACCAAAGGCTCCCTCCTCAGGGGCGTCGTCGGCCTTTGGGTGATGAATGGACGGGCGGGCGAGCACGCGGTCTGCACAGGCGAGCGAGCGAGTCTGTGAAATGCAGACTGCAGGACGTTCGGCAACTTTGCAGACGCGACAGCTCCGCAGGTCTCCAGGCTGTCGGCCGAGGCGTCCAGCCCTCGAGCCCGCGGCACCCGGGCCCACCCCCGTCTCCCCTTCCCGAGGCCCACGCGCCCCCAGCCCGCGCCAGCCCGCGGCCGCCGCTCCCCTCGAGCCCGGGGCGCCCGCCCCGCCCTCGCCCCGCCCCCTCGCCCCGCCCCCCTCGCCCCGCCCCGCCGGAAGCGCGCCGGCCCGCCCCGCCGGAAATGACGTACGCCACGGCCTAGCAACCGTTACCAAGGAGCTCATCTCTAGCAACCCACTGGCGCCCCAAAGCTTTTTGGGGGGTGGGGAAAGAAAAGTGGTTTCGAGAGGACAATTGGAGGTAACCTCGCCAACCCGCGGTCGGAAATGCCCCCGAACCCCGAGATAGAACTCCCGCCCCCTCCTCTTTACAGTGCAGCGAGTCGCGGGGTCCCCGCAGGGAAGCCCCACGTCGGGGATCGGGCCCCGGGGCGGCCTCGCTGCCCTCCAGGCTGCTCCCCAGCGGGAGGGGCCGCACGGCTCAGCAGCCCCCGCGAGGAACCCGTCGAATTTGGGGTCCCCTGTCCCGGCCCCCCCAGCCCCGGCGGCGGGCGCCCTGCTGTGGGGGTCCGTCGGAGGCGGAGGGCCCGCGGGGGCCGGCCCGGGCGGGCGGCGGGTTCCTGCGCCGAGTCGAGCCCCGGACGCGCCCGTCCTGGTTTAACGCCGCCCGCCGGGGCCTCGGCTCCCGAAGTGGGGGAGCGGGTGGCCCAGCCGGCGACCGGCCCCCCGAGGCCTGAGTAATTGCTTTTGCTAATTTTAGAGCGCAGAGCCCGCCGGGCACAGACACCCACCTGTTCTGCACCTCGCTGTCCTTAGCTGGTGACCCCTGAAAGCCGGTGGGCGGCTAGGGGGAGACCCCCACCTTGTTTCTTTTCCCCTCCAGGTGACATTTGCCACGTTTGTACAGTTACTCAATTTTGTTCTTGAAGGAGAAGGAATGTGATTCTAATGATTTCTAAATCATTAAATATATATGCGCGTGAAGGTCATGACGTGGACTTTTACGTAAACTACTTTTAACAAGGGAAAACTTGCCTCTGTGATGTGGATTTTTGATTGAGGTTTTTCTTTTATAGCTTAAAGGGAACCTCAGATTTATAAATTCCATTGGTTACTCGGGGCTTTTTTTTTTTTTTAAGCCAAAATATGCAACTACTCGTAATTTTATCATAATTGTGGAAAAATTTTATCTTTACATTTTGATGTTAGACTTAATATCCAGCACCACCCACTCAACCTGAGAGACCTATTATTTCAGAGCGGCCCCCACTAATATCTTAGATAAAATGGCATCTACCCCTTTCATGGCTAAAAGCAATTAGGAAACACTGAAGTAATTTTTTCTTTAATTTTTTAGCATTGCATTGGAATTTTAAAAATTCATTTAAATATCTACTAATTTAAAAAATGGTCTGCCCGCAAAATTTCTATCATTTATTCCCCTAAACAAGTGATAAATGAATGCAGGAAACAATGAGAAAGAACTTGGATAAAGCTGTTTTAGCTTTGACCTATGATGGAGTGCTCTGGTGGTTGCTGTGGTGTGGTAACAAATAGCATACAGTATTCTAAACACATGTTACCTCTATAAAAAAATTAAATAATGACGCTTAGGATTTGCACTTTTGGAAAGGGGGGAATGGAGAATAGTCCTTCTAGGAGGAAAAAACAGTATTAACAGATGTCAGAGGAAAGTCAGAGGGTCAAAACTCTTTGGGAAGCAGTGACTATTTCTGTTGGCTGAAGGTGGAAAGAGTGCAAGGCTGAATGGAGCTAGACCTAGAGAGTCTAGAAACCCAAGAAGTCTGGGCTTTATTTTATAGGCTAAGAGAAGGCTACAGATGATTTGGAATGGGAGAGGTGGGACTGAAAACATGAGGCTCTTATCATATTGAATGCAAAGGAAATAAAGGCCTGAGTTTCTCAGGGGCTGGAGAAGCCTCTGCCTACAATACCAAGTTGATAACACAAATGGGTGAGAAATGCTTGGTGGAGGAAAACCAAACAGAACCAAAGAGCTTGTGCCCCAGTTAAAGAGTACAGCCTCTATACAGCTTTGGTTGGTGGCCCTGCGCAATCATGGGCCCAGACTTACCAGATCTGAGTTTCAAGAGAAATCAGAAATCTGGAATTGCACGGGCTGCTATTAAAAAAAGAAGAAAAGAATTGGTCGAGGGTGAGTAGAACGTGCATCTATGGAAGTGCAAAAGTGTAACCCCCAAAGTTAAAATAAAACTTAAAAAAACAGGCCTCTCTCATGGCGCAGGCGGTTGAGAACAGCGCTGTGAAGCTGTTGGTCAGCCTCTGCAGCACGGGTTTATCCCTGCTGGCCACGGAGTTACCCGCATGGTGCAGCAGACCTCTCCTGTCTCTCCTGCTGCTCCCTTCAGCAGTGTATTTCAGTCAGTCTGCCTGCTCTGTTCCCCGCTCTGTCTCTGGTGAATCCTCTCACCCTCCCGAACATCTGGCCCGTACCCCAGTTCTTGTATAAATAAGTAAATCTTTTTAATAAATAAATAAATTTAAACTTAAAAAATATTTGAAAGTGAATAAGTGAATAAATGAATAAAGTGAATAAATATTTTAATATTTATGAATAAGTGAATAAGTGAATAAATATTTTATATCAAGAAGGTAGGAAAGGATCAGACTAACGGTGAACTCACAGCAAGATAATATTAATAGTAAAGGAAGAGCAGAAATAGAAAACAAAAAAATAAAAGGATCAGTGAAAGCCAAGGTTTATTCTGCAATGAAAACCTCCAAAAACAGAAATAGAAATAAAAAAACTTGAATAAATGAATAGCAATGAAACAAAAAAAACAAGCAGAAATTAGAAGCCTCTCTGCAGTCTAACAAGTTTTTAGCCCTGAGTAGAATTTAAAGCTGAATGGGAGAGATGTTAGGATTTATTATTTATTATAATAGGTTGGGTTTATTATGCATTTGTCTGTGGTAACTCAGTGTTATTTCAGATGATTGTTACCACACCAGATGCTGTGCAAAAACATTCAGCATCAAATGTTAATACAACATACTGCAGCTTTCATCATATAGTCTTCACAGTCCGATTTCTTTCAATAAAATAACTCTTTCATGGCACTTTCTATGTCATGTAGAATTATACTTTTCACGCCTATTTCCTATGAACTTGATGCTGATTTCCCCCCAAAACTTGTCAATACTGAGGCCTTTTTTCTCTATTTTTATTCTCATTTAAGTTGTAAGACCTAATTATGAGCGATCAGATCAAATTCATTGTGGACAGTCTCAATAAGGAGCCTTTTAGGAAGAACTATAACTTAATCACCTTTGATTCCCTGGAGCCAATGCAACTCTTACAAGTTCTCAATGATGTTCTTGCTGAGATTGACCCAAAGGTAAGAGTTTCTTCTTTCTTCCTCTATGATGAAAAGGGTGGCAGCAAAGTCAGTTTGTGGTCTGAGTCTCAGGGAAATTATGAACCTCTCCAGGCCTTATTTTTGGTGTCTATATAGAAATAGTAAATTATCTTTAAGTGTTCTTTACCAGCTCGAAATTAAATTATCTACTTGTACCTTATTTGGAAACAGTTTCTCTACTTTCAGACATAAATAGATTTGGTGCTGGAATGAAAATGCTTTTACAAAAGGCTTTATTGTACTGCAAGTCAGCTCACGCCTCATATACACTGGTCTTTTCCATTGGAGATTTTTTTAAGCTTGACATTTTCGATATGAATCCTGACCTGACTTGTACGTACCCTCACATGGAATCTGGGGCCTCTATACTTAATCTGTCTTATGAAGAGACCTTTTATGCTCTGTTAGTACAATTTTGTCAGTGAGTTTAAATATTGTTCATTGTTAAATATACAACAATAACATATTTTTCAATTCCTTTGTTAGCAAGTTGTTGATATCAGAGAGGAGATGCCAGAGCAGACAGCCAAACGGATGTTGAGCCTTCTTGGTATCCTTAAATACAAACCACCAGGAAATGCCACAGACATGTAAGAATCTTACCGCTTGTTGCTTTCTTAAAACTGTGCTTTAATAGCCAAACCTTGATGGCACCATTAGTCTTCCTAGGCCAGACTTAGTCTCTCTAGTCCTCAGACACTGAATCTCAAGATAATCTTGAACTTTTAATTTCATGCACAACTTTTAATTTCTGAAGCAAGTCAATTCTTCCTCCTAATCAAAAAAAGACAGATAAACCCAGTTCACTTTCTCATTTATCTGCTATCCTTGATAAAAAACAATGAAGTGTTAAGGCTGACTATACTGGTTAAAGGTTCAGCACAACCTCCCCACCTACCCGAGTGACATGTTAACAGCATGATTTTAATTTTTTTTAATGTTTATGCATACAAGAACTGGGGTAGAGGCCAGAGGTGTGGGGCTAAGATTCACCAGAGACAGAGTGGGGAACAAAACAGGCAGATTGACTGAAATACACTGCTGAGGAGAGCAGCGGGAGAGTCAGGAGAGGTCTGCTGCGCCATGTGGGATGCTCCCTGGCTGGGGATCAAACTTGTGCTGCAGAGCCTGTGGATAGCTTCATAAGGTTGCATCTTCTGCACCACCAGGGAAGCCCACAGCATAATTTTATGCTTAATGTATATATGGACTTTAGAATAGCTTTGCTTTTATCTTTTTAAAATTGTAATGGAAAGCAGGCAGGAAATGATAAATCGTATTTTGAGCAAATGCTATTGCTTTTCTAAGTTAACTTACAAGCTTCTGTATGTGTGTATGTGTTTATTTTCTTTTATAGGAGTACCTTTCGTCAGGGCTTGGTGATTGGAAGTAAACCTGTAATTTACCCAGTTCTCCACTGGCTTCTTCAGAGGACTAATGAACTGAAGAAAAGAGCATACTTAGCTCGTTTTTTAATAAAACTTGAGGTACCAAGTGAGTTTCTTCAGGATGAAATCGTGGCTGATACCAACAAACAGGTATCCAACACATAAATGGTATCTGTAATGGATTTCAAGGTGCACATGTTCAAATACACGTTAATCTCTTTTTTCCTTTATTTGCTGTTTCTGTAGTTTCAGATGGCACCAAAAGCTAACCGTTATCAGCTAATGTTCAAGCATAATCATGTATTAAAATAGTGATTTTTGCACATAAATATCATTACTGATAGGGTAAATGAATAGAAAATTCCTGAAATTAGGATTTTAGAATAATGTATTCCTTAAGAATTGTGGGTAAGTAGGATCCTGGGTTCGGAATTGCTCATCAGTTAGGTGACTATACAGTTTGTCATCCAAATCTGAGAGAAAGGAGCTATCATAATAATTACACCAGGACAAAAGGGATAAATTAACACTAGTCCTGGCAAATTGGAAATGGGATCCTCCCACGTGGGTTGTGTGTGGGCAGAGAAGCTGGTGTTGAGATCTCAAAGGCTTTCCCAGTCAGAGAGAAGACAGAGAAGGAGCCTGGAATTTAAAATTTCAGTGCACATTCCCTACCAGAGTGTCGTGATAATGGGTTCTGGCATTAACTACTGAGGATTCTGACTAGTTGGCTCCTGGTCCTGGGATTTCAAAGCACATTGCTGATCAAAGACTATGGAAAGAAAGGATTCAGGTTTAAAATTTCAAAGGACTTTGATTTTAAGAAAAGTGCCTCTGTTTAGCACTTTGTTCTTTTACTCCAGAGTGTGTACACAGACTGATTTGTGCTACTTGTGAGTAGTTTGTCGACTTGTCACTCCTAATAGATTGTGAGATCTGTGGAGACAGGTTTCACATCTTGGCTATCTATGCTTTCCTCCAGGGTTTGGCGTGTGCTCCAAATTTTTTTTATCCAAATATTTTCATATTGGGCCTCCCCTGGTGGCGCAGCGGTTGAGCACTGGGCTGCGAAGCTGCCCGCAGCCTTTGCAGTACCAGTTCGATCCCCAGCCTCTGGTGAGGGTCCCATATGGTACAGCAGACCTCTCCTATCTCGCCCACTGCTCCCCTCAGCAGTGTATTTTGTCGGTCTGCCTGTTCTGTTCCCCGCTCTGTCTCTGGTGAATTCTCTCACCCTCCCACACTTCTGACTATACCCAGTGCTTGTATAAATAAATAAATAAATCTTTAAAAAAAATTTTTCATCCAAAGTACTGTTATTTGTGGTAACCATGGTCGTCACTGAAAATAGAGTGAATATTGATCTCTTAAGATGTTTCTAGGATTGAAAGTTTTGCGCAAATAATGTCAAATGTTATGGGAGAAGAACAGTGGAATGAGACCACCTCTCCTTGCCCTTTAGGGTTTCATATAATGTAGGAAATAGAGTGTAAATGTGAAATAGTCTCTCCTACTCTGCCCCACCAATAAATTTGATAAAAACTAATTCCTCTACAGGAAGTTTATGCATAGTTTTTACTAAACATACTCTACTAATTAGTGGAAGAATTAGTGACAATAATAGAGGTATGTTTGTTCTTGAAACATGTTTGAGATGTACATATAAAATGATTTACACATTTAGCCAGTCATTAGCAGAAACCCCAGTAAAATATACACATTGTCTTTTTGAATGAAGAGTTTTAGAATGATTAATTTACAGATTTTTAGATATGATCAGGCAAGAAAATAGTAATTTCCTGCCATTGCCCATGAAAAACTACTTTTTAAAATTTTTAGGTAATAGTTGGATTTTTTTTTTTCATTCACTGAACTATTTTTTATTCAACACCCAAATTGGCTATGTACACTGCTAGGCTCCAGAGATAGTCAAGTGTATACAAGCAATATGATTTTTTTTTTTTAAGATTTATTCATTTATTTATACAAGCACTGGGTACAGTCAGAAGCGCGGGAGGGTGAGAGAATTCACCAGAGCCAGAGCAGGGAGCAGAGGAGGCAGAAGAACAGAAGTACACTGCTGAGGGGAGCAGCGGGCAACAGGAGAGGTCTGCGCGCCATACGGGACCCTCCTCCAGTGGCCAGGGAGCAGCCGGGGATCGAACTGGTGCCTCAGAGGCTGCGGGCAGCTTCGCAACCCAGCGCTCAACCGCTGCGCCACTGGGGAGGCCCAGCAATATGATTTTTGTCCTTATGGCTCTTACTATGCTAGAGACAGACCAGTAACTAGGCAATTGTAATTTTACATGATACATACCCTGATATCATGATACTCTGATAATAGGATAGATACAGGACTGGAGTGGGCTTCTCTGAATATAAATGGTATCTATGCTGAGACCTGAAGGATGAATGAGCATTACCCAAGTTAAGGTAGAGAAGGTCATAGAGTGTTATCGGCGGGATGGAGGTGTATAAACTAAAGGCAAAAGCTTGGTGTCTTCCTAGGCCTGAAAGAAGATTCAACATAGCCAAGGTATACAGTGTGAGGTAGGAAAGTAATCAGTGAGGAAGCTAGAGAAGTAGTCAGTGACCAGATTATAAACACCAGTGTTTTTGTGTCTCACATAAATGTTTCAGGATGTATTTTTGTGCTGTTCTGCAATGATGTAAGTAGTTGCTGTAAGTTAACAGATAATCTAATTCAGAAAAGCCTACTAGATTTGGTCATTAGTTTGTAACTTTCTAACTTGTCCTTTTAGTATGAAGAGTTGATGGAAGCCTTTAAAACTTTGCATAAAGAATGTGAGCAGCTCAAGACATCTGGATTTTCTACAGCAGAAATAAGAAGGGTAAAGAAAAGAAACTATAATCATATTTTTTGGATTTTAATGGTAGAGCTAGCATTTTTGTTTTTAATTCATTATGAGTCAAGACTACATATACCCTTTTTTATCTTTCTATTTATTAAAAATATTTAATAACTAAATAATTTTATTATTTAGTTATTTTAATAACTAAATAATATTCAATAGTGTGGAAGTTGTTTTGTTCTCATTTTTTTTTGGTTATAGATAATGCAATGATTATCTTCTACATAAGTTTTTTTTACACCTGTGATTGTTTTCTTAAAATAAATTTCTAAAAATGGAATTGCTTATTAAAGCATATGGAAATTTTTAGGAATTTGATGCATCCTACTTAATATTCTCCCAAAAAAAGCATTTTTACATTTACACCAGGCATTTAGGTTCTTTCTACAAACTCTTACTAATTCTCAATTTCATGGATTTTGAATTCTTAGCATTCCTGAATTATCATTGCCAGTTTTATCTTCTCATTCAGTCGGGGAACGTTGGAAGTTGCTTCCTTAGAGAAGTCTTCCCTGATTCCCTAGATAGATTAGTTCCCCCAGTTCTTTTTGTTTCATAACACTTACTATACATATAATATTCTAATAGCTGTCTTCCCAAGTTTAATTCATATGAGGTCAAGGATTATATCTATATATCTTTTTCACTCTATACTATAGCATAGTGCTCTGAACATGGTAAGTTTTCACCAAGAGTTTGTTGAAGGCATTAAGAATGAAAGATGAGGGCCTCCCCGGTGGCGCAGCGGTTGAGCGCTGGGTTGCGAAGCTGCCCGCGGCCTCTGCGGCGCCGGTTCGATCCTCGGCTGCTCCCCGGCCACCAGAGGAGGGTCCCACATGGCGTGCAGACCTCTCCTGCCGCCCGCTGCTCCCCTCAGCAGTGTACTTCGGTCCTTCTGCCTGCTCTGCTCCCCGCTCTGGCTCTGGTGAATTCTCTCACCCTCCCGCGCTTCTGACTGTACCCAGTGCATGTATAAACAAAACAAACAAACAAACCAGCAAAACAAATAAATAAAGCATGCCTCTATAAAAAAAAAAAAAAAAAAAAAAAAAAGAATGAAAGATGAACTCATATCTAGTGGGAGAAAAATGATAAAGTTATCTAGTGTCTATAATTTTAATTTCATTAATTATTACCAAAGTATTTTTTAACATAGTCTTCAAAGTATTATTAAGCAAGACATAGAAAATAATTCACTCAATCCCATGTACTCGAAATACCTACTGTTGACATTTTAGTGAATATATTTAAATCTCTTTCTTGGTATTGTACTATAAATAAATGTTGTAATCTGCTTCTTTCAAGTAATGTCATATCATGATTTTTTCTCATGTCGTTAAACATTCTTCTGCATAATTTGTAATGACTTGTTGTATTGTGTTGTCGTTTATTTAATAATTCTAGACATTGGGTAATTTCCAAATTTTAGATAGAGTTAGCATCTGTGAGAATTCTTGTGGAGAAGTATGTGACCTTTCATGAATATTTTTTTAGGACAAATTCCCAGAGAAGGCATTACAGAATGATTGGGCCAGAAGGCATACACACTAATTTTGAGACTTGATATTGTTCTTTAGTACAATGCCATCAGTGATGAGTGTGAGTGCCTGTCTTCCCAAATATTGTTCACTACTGAGTATCCTGTTAGTATCGCTGTGATAATCAGGCTATTAGTTTTTTAGGTTTCGGAAGGATTTTTGTTTGTTCGCTTTTTTCCTTAGAAAATATTATGGGGGCCTCCCTGGTGGCGCAGCGTTTGAGCGCTGGGTTGCGAAGCTGCCCGCAGCCTCTGCAGCGCCAGTTCGATCCCCGGCTGCTCCCCGGTCACCGGAGGAGGGTCCCACATGGTGCGCAGACCTCTCCTGCTGCCCGCTGCTCCCCTCAGCAGTGTACTTCGGTCCTTCTGCCTGCTCTGCTCCCTGCTCTGGCTCTGGTGAATTCTCTCACCCTCCCGAGCTTCCAACTGTACCCAGTGCTTGTATAAATAAATAAATAAATAAATAAATCTTTTAAAAAAAAAAAAGAAAATATTATGGAGGGCTTCCCCAGTGGCACAGCGGTTGAGCGCTGGGTTGCGAAGCTGCCCGCAGCCTCTGCAGCACCGGTTTGATCCCCAGCCACCGGGCGAGAGTCCCACATGGCGCGCAGACCTCTCCTGCCGCCCGCTGCTCCCCTCAGCAGTGTACTTCGTCAGTCTGCCTGTTCTGTTCTCAGCTCTGGCTCTGGTGAATTCTCTCGCCCTCCCACGCTTCTGACTGTACCCACTGCTTGTATAAATAAATAAATAAATCTTTAAAAAAAAATTATGGAACTAATTAAAAGAAAGGTCACTTTGAAGTTGAAGTCTTTGTTTTGGGGAAAGGAATTGGCTAATTGACCAAACCAGGAACAAATTTATGTATTGAAAACAGCATAGCCTTAAAAATGATTATGATGGAAAATTGGCAGAATATATAATTTGGCATTTACCACAACAGATAGGATGTCAGCAGTTCCGTTTGTGTTTTTAGACACACTTTCCATTATAGAAGATTTTTGAAAAATCGCATACCCATATTTGGAATCAAAACACAAATGTGCTGGTTAGCAGTTTTACCTTGCTAGGTTATAACCAGTTTTATAGCCTGCATTTCTAGATGAACACCAAGCTGCCAAATAATTACCCCATGTAAAAAAACCCCAGTTGCGGGTGGGGAGCAAATAGAAATGCCCTTCATCCCGAGAGATCTTTGTTGCAAGTGATGAAAATGGTAGATGCAGAATCACATAAAAACTGTGTCTGTATTCTATGGAAAAATGCTTGTTCTTATAATATCTTCTGGACTACTTTTTTAGGATATCGGTGCAATGGAGGAAGAAAAGGATCAACTCATTAAGAGAGTAGAACGTTTGAAGAAAAGGGTAAGGCAAGAAATAGCGCTGTAAGACTTTGGCTCCAAGTCCCAAGGACTTGCAAAGATTTAGGAATGCAAATAAAGATTAAGGAAAGCATGGGTGTATATCTGAGGACAGGCTCAAATAACGTCCACAGAAAGGAAATCTCCCTAGGCAGTGGCCCAAAACTTTACTGGAGTCTAGAGCCTACTGTCATCTCCAGGGAGTACTGTTTACCAAAAGGAAATGATAAGTGGATGTCTGCGTCACATGACATGGCTAATGTCTTTCTTAAGTCTGACAGTAACATGTACTACTTATCCTCTTACTGTAGGTGGAGACAGTTCAGAATCATCAACGGATGCTTAAAATAGCAAGGCAACTTCGCGTTGAAAAGGAGAGAGAAGAATTTCTTGCACAACAGAAACAGGAACAAAAGAATCAGGTATCCACATGAAAGTTTATTTTCTCATGAATAGTTCCTTCTGAAAATTCCAGTGTGAGGAAAGAGTAGAATTGTGTAAGCTCATGTTTCTCTTTGTTGACACGATGGAATACTTGAGTATTTTGCGGTGTCAGCAGCAACATTACCACCTTTTAGGTTCTGCACTCCATATGTGTAAACACACTGTCTTTTGGCTCATGCTTAATTCATGTTGTTCCAGCATTACAGAACATTCATCATAATGTTAAGTTGTAAGATTGTTGATGAAACACTAGAATCTCCCAATAGTGTCCTGAAACTCCGGGGCTATGAGAATATCCTTTCTAGCCCCCTGATGACAGTATCCTGTACATTTTACTCTGAGGCAAGTAAACATGAAAAGGCTCAGCATCACCCATGGGCCACATCTTTAGACTTTGCCTTAAAGAAAAAATAACTTAGCTAGCTAGAAGGAATTACTTCTATTTTATTAAAAGTCTATCTTCAAACTGAGTAGATGTCTACAGTAAAAATATATTTCATATCTGCTCCATTTGCTGCTAAAATGGGCAGTTGAGGTGTTTGTCTCCTTGGAGCTTGACTTGCATCACGTAGTTTGATTGCAGCAGGAAGCTGCCTTGCATGGCCTGGAGTGATTCCTTAATATCAGCTCCCGATTCAGGGACATCGTTTGTTAGAATGCTAGTGTTCTTTAGAATTAAGAAAACCTGAGGCATATATTTCTTTAGCAAGTATTTTTCCTTGGCCACCAGATTCAACAAATAACTAAAGAGAAATTTTCTCAAATTTTCATGTCATTGACATGAAAAGGTATTGAGAGAACTAGTTAAATTTTGGGTTTGACACAGTAGTTTTCTCAGTTCTTCTAGTTCCTTTAATGTCACAGAAATATGTCAGACCTATATTTTTCATTGCTTATCTAGGGGTGGGTTTCAATAGACAAAACAAGTAATGGGTCTAATTGTATTTTAAAGCTGTTTCATGCAGTGCAGAGACTGCAGCGAGTTCAAAATCAGCTGAAAAGCATGCGCCATGCAGCCGCAGATGCAAAGCCTGAAAGTAAGTGGAGCTTATAGTATCATGTCGGTGATCAGGCAATACAAGTTCAAGTCAGCTGTCTTCCTTGAAATAACTGACCAATGGGAATTAATTTATGTTGAATTAATTATTAATTACATTGACTTAATTATTTCTTAGTTATATACATTTTCCTACTAATGAGTAAAGGATGACATCCTTAAATTTTCACCTGGGGCTTTTAAATTCCCATTTAGTGTTTTGTCAGAGGGTAAAGGTAATGAAAACCACCATGACGGGAGACTTTGGATGTGTGTGTATAAAGTATTTAGGATGGATGTTATGAAAAAGATATGTGGGGGGAAAAAAAAAAGATGTGTGGAGAAAATGTGAACCATTATTTTAGAACCAGGACTAGAGAGGAAGAGAATAAAGTGCTGGACTTTTAAAACTGAGTGGGTTTTTGTTTTTTCTTTTTTTTCATATTTTAGATTGTGCTAATGACATGGGTATCCCTGGTTCTTTTGTCATGTTAACTTTAATTTTTAAATATGTATCCATACAAGAACTGGGGTACAGGCCAGAGGTGTGGGGGTGGGGGTAGTGTGAGAGGATTCAGCAGAGACAGAGTGGGGAGCAGAACAGGCAGACTGACTGAAATACACTGCTGAGGGGAGCAGCAGGAGAGTCAGGAGAGGTCTGCTGCGCCATGTGGGTCAGCTCCCTGGCTAAGGATTGAACTTGTTCGCAGTGGCTGCCAATAGCTTCTTAATGCTGCGACTTAACACCTTGTGCCACCAGGGAGGCCCTGTCATATTAACTTTTATATAGAAATTACTCAAATATCCCAGATTGCACAACCAAACCCACCCTGATGTGGACTCAGACAGCTCCCTGGATGTGTTGGCAAACAGCTAAGTTAAGGTGAAGAGAGAGGTGAAGACATGGAAGACAGTCCATGGCGAGGCACAGTGACCTAAAAGAGCAGAAATACAGTGGCCCGAGCAAATGCTAGATGAAGAAGTAGAGATAGAAGGTCAGCTTCTTCTGACTTACGAGTTTGTAAAGGAGGCACAAATGGGAGTGTATGAATGAAGGAGAAAGTGCTCTGCCTCGATTGAGAGGAGATAGTGGTGTGGGCGTGTTGATATGCTGGAGGAAGGAGTCAGTCAGACAAGTGGAGAGTGGAAGATTCAGTAAGGTGAGAATAGCATCCTTCCCTGTGTGCATTGCCTGAAATGTTCTACCTCAGTTACGTTGGTGCACTCATTCTTGACATGTCTGACTCTGACTCAACCAAACTCCAGGGTAGTCACCAAGTCTTCACTGTTCTTTCTGTGTCCAGGCCACAGCACGCTAGATTACATGAAGCAGAGCAGGAATTCAATAAAAACTTTAAGTAGTTGGGAAGTGGGAATAGAGACCCTAATCCTGGATTGGAAGAAAATGATCTTTTCAATGGTAATAGGGAAATCAAATAAGAAAAAAATGACTGACAATGTTAAAATAAGATGTTATATGTGCAGTGTTTTTTGTGTAGAAGGAAGAGGGGAGCAGGAAAGCAGGAAGTTAGAGTTCTTGCTCTTTCTTGACATCTTCCTGGGAAACAGTCTTTTTTTTCTTTTTAAAGATTTATTTATTTATTTATTTATTTATTTTATTTATACAAGAGCCAGGGTACAGGCCAGATGCACGGGAGGCTGAGAGGATTCACCAGAGGCAGAGTGGGGAACAGAACAGGCAGACTGACAAAATACACTGCTGAGGGGCCAGCGGGCGAGATAGGAGAGGTCTGCCATGCCATGTGGGACCCTAGCTGACCGGCTGGGATAGAACCAGCACTGCAGAGGCTGTGGACAGTTTCACAGCGCTGCACTGATCAACCGCCTACGCCACCAGGGAGGCTCCGGGAAACAGTCTTAAAGGCTTCCTGGGAAACAGTCTTCAGTAGTCCAGAAAAAGAATAGACTAAACAGGTGTTTATTTGATCCCAGTGTATTTTATTTTTTAAGGTTTATCTAAATAGGGCTTACAAAGTTTCTATTTACTTAAATAACATGAATAGTATTCTTAGTGTAGCAGTATAATTTGTATTTTTTCAGAGTAGCAGCCATATTATAAAACATTTATTGAAGTTAATTAATTCATCTTTATACTCTGCACATTCGTGAGATTTATTCCACAAAAGAAGCTACTCATTCAATTAGAATCAGTGAGATATTTTCAGAGGATTTTTAATCAAAAAAGTTTGCTGAAGGGCCTCCCAGATGGCGCAGCGGTTGAGCGCTGGGTTGCGAAGCTGCCCGCAGCCTCTGCGGCGCCGGTTCGATCCCCGGCTGCTCCCCGGCCTCCGGAGGAGGATCCCACATGGCGCGCAGACCTCTCCTGCTGCCCGCTGCTCCCCTCAGCAGTGTACTTCGGTCCTTCTGCCTGCTCTGCTCCCCGCTCTGGCTCTGGTGAATTCTCTCACCCTCCCGCGCTTCTGACTGTACCCAGTGCATGTATAAACAACACAAACAAACAAATAAATAAATAAAATAAAACATACCTCTATTAAAAAAAAAAAAGTTTGCTGAAATCTTAGTGACCTTATATTTATTTTCACCAAGATTTGGAAAAGTAACTTTAAAAAATGCATAGAAACAATATGACTGATTTTCAAGGTCTGAGTTTCAATTTTTAAGAGAATTTAAAAATGTGATGAAAGTTATTTTTGTGTTGTTTAACCACTTTATGAGATAAAATTAATGCATAATGAATTGCACATATTAAAGGTGTACACTTGCTATGTTTCAGTGTATGTACACACTGGCAAAATCATCACCCTTAACCCAGGTGGCAAATACCAGTTTCCTTGTGCCCTTCGTGATATCTCATTCCTGCCCTCCTCTGTCTTCTTCCCACCCCCAGGCAACCATTGATCTGCTCTCTGTCACTGTAGATTAGTTTTTATTTTCTAGATTTGAGACCATTTTTTAAACAGAGAACGTGGTATTTAAGAATTCGAAATCTCTAAAAACATTTAGACTTTGATTGCTTGCCTGTGATGATGCAGTATGTTTAAGAACTTGAAACGGAAAAACTAGTCATTTAATAGCCAAAGAAGCCAGGATGTAGATTTAATCAGAAACCACACAGAAACAACTGCCTAATTCTAGTGTGATTCATTCAACACTTTTTCTTCCTTTCCTTTCCCCAACTCCTAAAAGGGGAAAATTGTAGGGATGAATGGAAAACTTGTGAATTTGCTATTAATAAATCTTTACATGTTAATATATGGTTAGCAAAACAGAACTAAAAATAATTTTAAGGCTTTGAGCCAGATTTATTGTGCAATCTACGTAGATTACTTAAACCGGAAATCCAGTGTTTTAAAAAGTCAAGCCAGAATTTGTAAATGTGTAATGGAAAGATCTGAAATAAACTTTATAAAGCTATCTAGGCTGGGAACTTATAACAAAGCCATTATTCACTGAAAATTTGTATGTGTGTGTATTTGTGCATTCTGATAAAATAAGAGGACTTAAATCTTAAAAATATAATTTAAGTTGCCACTTAACTGTAAGCTACTGCTTTATAAAATCACAACTACCAAATGTGGAAAACCAAAAATGTTTATGAATGTAAATAATTTCTCTTTTTCAGTATTAGTGATGTGATGGTGTCTTTATTTATTTAAAACTGACATAATATAATGTATTTCCATATATGAAATATTAGACGTATAAATTGCATGAGAAGTATTACAAAAGAAAAGGAATAAGTAACTGCTTACAGAAGAGAGGACCTGGATTAGAGTTCATTAATATTGCCATTTGGTTCATGGATTTCCTAAGCACTCAGAATGCAAAATAGGACACAAAACTGTATCAAGCACTGCAAATGTTATTTTTGCATAATATAGAATATAAACAAATGGTGGTAATTTCGAAGGTCATAATCTTACTGCTATAGTTATTTAAATAGTCTTCATGTAAATTGTCCTTCATTATCACTAATTAACATCAAAAGATTTCAGTGGTTGATCTTTCGTGGTACTGTGCTTGATAATACACAGTGTGCTTTCAACAAATATGTCCTGTTGTTCAAGTCTTATATTTTAAAGTGTACAGAATATAATTATACTTTCTCTCTTGGACTGAATATTCATTTATTTTATTTTTAAAGGCTTAATGAAGAGGCTAGAGGAGGAGATAAAATTTAACTCATATATGGTAACTGAAAAATTTCCTAAAGAATTAGAGAACAAGAAAAAAGAATTGCATTTTTTACAAAAAGTAGTTTCAGAACCTGCTATGGGCCACTCTGATCTTCTTGAGCTTGAATCTAAAGTAAGTGGCAATCACCTCCTCATTATCGTTCCCCATTTTATCTCATCCCCTGTCTTATGAAAATTATTTGTACTACCTACGCTCCTCTACTCTTGACTCTTGAATTAACCTGTACTGAGAGCTGACAGCTCTCATGATGAGTTATCCTTTATGAGGACTCATAGCCTGAAATGCTTTATCCACGTTATATTATAAAACCTAGTCATCTGATTATAACTAAGTCACTTGGACATATAAATTAATGCATGTGACTGGCTCATAGGTTTATGTGTTTGCAATATCATTATTTAGATAGCAAATTTTAAAATATTTTAAGTATCACTAATTTTGTTCCCTAAGAATAATAATATAACAATTTTACATTAAAAACTATTTTTTTTCCGGGCCTCCCCTGGTGGCACAGGCGGTTGAGCGCAGCGCTGAGAAGCTGTCCACAGCCTCTGCAGTGCCGGTTCTATCCCCACTGGCCTCGGAGCAACCCATATGGCGGGCAGACCTCTCCTGTCTCGCCCGCTGCTCCCCTCAGCAGTGTATTTCGTCAGTCTGCCTGTTCCGTTCCCTGCTCTGTCTCTGGTGAATCCTCTCACCCTCCCTCACATCTGGCCTGTACCCCAGCTCTTGTATAAATAAATAAATAAATCTTTAAAAAAGAACAAAACTATTTTTTTTTCTTAGCCTCCGTGCCAGCTTTGGAAGTAGTAAACAATCTTGTGATGCTCATTGAAAACCTGGTGTCATTATATAACATTTTTTTTCCTACAAATATAACACTGATCAAGATGTATTATTTTTAAAAGAAGAAATCTTATGAAAATTGAAGGGTTTTTACATGCTAGTTATTTATTGTACTTAATATGTGCCTAATGGCAATTATAATGAAATACGTAATTCTGACCTTTTTATTTATTAATTTACCTATAGAAATCAGATGTCCATGTCAGATTTGGCTGAAATTTAATATCATAGAATTAAGAGAACCATAGTCTTTTAAAAGGATATATATAATGAAAACCTTATAAATTTTTAATGTCTTGAGAGATTGTTTGCTTCTATTGGCTTTATTGCTTTTTCGAGAAGTTCAGATTAATGAATCAGGTGACAGCTACAGGAAAATCACAGATCATTAGAACAGGAAGGGTTTTTAGATGTCATTCATGTCAACTCTCACCTGGCTCATGAATTCTATCACTAAATCCCTGGGGAATGTTAGCCCCCATTTGCTTTATCACTTGCAGTCACAGCCGAGGTGAGAGGACACCTTGAGACATTTAGAAATCATCTTTTTGGTAAGACTATATGAAAGACTTCAAGTAGAATACTAAAGGATAATTTAGACATGAATGGTTAGAACCGTATAATTTTTTTTTTTTTTAAAGATTCTGTACTTTTTTTTTTTTTTTTTAAATAGAGGCATGTTTTATTTATTTATTTATTTGTTTGTTTGTTTTATTTATACATACACTGGGTACAGTCAGAAGCGCGGGAGGGTGAGAGAATTCACCAGAGCTAGAGCAGGGAGCAGAGCAGGCAGAAGGACCGAAGTACACTGCTGAGGGGAGCAGCGGGCGGCAGGAGAGGTCTGCGCGCCATGCGGGACCCTCCTCCGGTGGCCGGGGAGCAGCCGGGGATCGAACTGGCGCCGCAGAGGCCGCGAGCAGCTTCGCAACCCAGTGCTCAACCGCTGCGCCACCGGGGAGGCCCTAGAACCGTATAATTAACAAATCATGTACACATATATCATGAACCATGAAATGTAAATTATTTATAAAAATTAATCATAACAACCACTCATAGCAGTAATGAACTATTCCATGAAACCATGGATGATAAGAACTATTTATAAAGTCAAAGCTTAGTTTGGCCAGATGTCCCTTAATTTGTGTAATCATATGAAGAGTTTTAATCTTTTTTACTTTCATACTGTTTTTAGATAAATGAAATAAACACACAGATCAACCAGCTGATTGAAAAGAAAATGATGAGAAATGAGCCAATTGAAGGCAAACTCTCACTATACAGGCAACAGGTAAGTTCCCTCTTTTTTAATATATTTATTTATTTATTTTTAAAGATTTATTTATTTATTTATTTATACAAGCACTGGGTACAGTCAGAAGCGCGGGAGGGCGAGAGAATTCACCAGAGTCAAAGTGGAGAGCAGAGCAGGCAGAATGATGAAGTACACTGCTGAGGGGAGGAGGGGAGCAGCGGGCGGCAGGAGAGGTCTGTGCGCCATGTGGGACCCTCGCCCAGCAGCCAGGGAGCGAACCTGCGCTGCAGAGGCTGCGGGCAGCTTCACAACCCAGTGCTCAACTGCTGTGCCACCAAGGAGGCCCTATATATTTATTTTTATTTATGTGTACAAGAACTGGAGTGTGGGCCAAAGGTGTGGGGGCGGTGAGAGGATTCACCAGAGACAGAGTGGGTTGCAGAGCAGGCAGACTGACTGAAATACACTGCTGAGGGGAGCAGCAGGGAGACAGGAAAGGTCTGCTGCGCCATGTGGGTCACCTTCCTGGCCGGGACTGAACTCGTGTGGCAGTAGTTGTGGATAGCTTCACAGTGCTGACACTTAATCTTTTGTGCCACCAGGGAGGCCCTAAGTCCCATCTTTGACCTACATATTGGTGAACATCTTCCAATCCACCATGGGCTGTATTATCTACAGACTTACAGTGAGATGAAATTAAAGAATAAATGTTCTTCTGTCACTGCTAATCTTCAGATTATAATAAAGAATTTGTGGAAAAGCGCAGATCTCTCCTGCTGCCTGCTGCTCCCCTCAGCAGTGTACTTCAGTCTAGTTGACTACCAGAGACCAAACTACCTGTATATTTGCCTATCATGGACATTTCATAGAAATGGAATTATACAATCCAGAACCCCTTGTGACTGTCTTCTCTTTCATTTAGCATAATGTTTTTTAATGTTTACCCATGTTGCAGTATGTATCAGCACTTCATTCTTTTTTATTGCTGAGTAATATTCCATTCTATGAATATATCCTATTTTGTTTATTAGTTGATGAGTATTTGGGCTGCTTCTGATTTTTGGCTATTATGAATAATGCTGTTGTGACCATTCTTATAGAATTGTTTTTTGTGGACGTAAGTCTTTATTTCTCTTGAGTATATTCTTAGGAGTGGAATTACTGGTTTACTTGCTAAATCTTTCCTCATTTTGAGGAAATGCCCAACTGCTTTTCGAAGTGACTACCGTTTTACATTCTTACCAACTGTGTGTGGAGGTTCTGATTTCTTCATGTTCTCCCAGTACTTCTTGTTGTTTTTTTGTTATAGCCATCTATTGGGTACGCTTAATCCTGTTCACAGTCTCATAGCTCCCTATTGAGTGGGTACTCACAGTTCATTCAAACCAATCTCCAATTGATGAACATTTGGGATGTTACCATTCTTTTGCCATAACAAAATTGCTTCAATGAATAGCTTTTGGTTAATGTCTTTGCATATACTTTACCAGTGTATCTTTGGGACGTTGTTCCAGAAATGAGATTGTAAGTGCATATGTTTGCTAGATACTGTCAAATTCCTCTCCTTAGGGGTTACAGCATTTTACATTGCCACCTACAGTGAATGAGAGCCCTGTTTCCTCACAGCCTCCCCAACAGAGTATGTTGTTTAACTTTTAGACTTTCTCCGTCCTGGTAAATGAGAAATGGCATGCTATGATGGTTGTTATTTTCATGTATCTCATTATACACAAGCTTGAACATTTTTTCATATGAGTAATAGTCATTCTCATTTCCTTTCATATCTTGACCCAATTTTTCTAAAGGGTTCTTGATCTTTTTTCTAGTTTTAGACACTCTTTATCCATTAGGAATACTTTCTCTCAGTGTAACATTTTTCTCCAGCTTGGTATTTGCGTTTTTTCTTTTCTTATGATGTCACTTTGCCCTGGAAATGTTTATCATTTTTATGAAATCAAATTTATCAATTCTATCTCTTATTTCTTCAGATTTTGAGACATTTAACAACATTTTTCAAGTTATAAATTACTCAAGTTTTCTCTTTGGACATCTAGCGTTTAATTTTTTATATTTAAATTTCTGATCTATTTAGAATTTTCTTTCTGGTCTATCATATTTGTTGTATAATTGCTTCTCGGCCTTTTGGCTAAGATCAAGTGTATCATATTTGTTGTATGGCTACCCAATTATCCATTTACACCAATACCCGTTAGTAAAAAATCCATTTTCCCCCCTCTAGATTTGAAAGCCTATCTTTATTTTGTTCCACATTTTAAAATGCTATGGGATTATTTCTAGTTTTTCTATTATTTCATTGGCCTGTTTATGTACTCCTCTTGTTTTTATTTGTAGTAGTTTTATAATCAAGTTCTAATATTTAATAAAAGTAACCACCTTTACCCCCAATTACTTAATATTTTCAGGATCTTCCTTAAAATTTTTTTTTGTATATGCTTTTAAAAACCTTTATTATCAATGACCTACATTAGAAAACAACATAATTTAAAAATTTGGGGGTTGCTTTATATTTAGCAATTACCTCAGAATTTGCACCTTTACAATGTTGAGTCTACTGTGTAAGGACATGCTGTGTGTCCCTGCTTATACAAGTTTATTTTCATATCTTTCGGGAGGATTTAATAGTTTTCTTCATAAAGTTTTGGAGCTTATCTTGGAACTTATCCCATATTTTATTTCATTTTTTACTTTTCTAAATGAGGGCTTGTCTCTCCTTATGTCTCCTTACTGACTTACTATAAAAGCTATTAGTTTGTTTACCATAGTTTTCTCATAGGTTCTTTTGGTTTTTAGGTACATAATCTCATACTATGAAAATTCTGATTTTTCTTTTTCAAATTCTTACTTTTGAAATTGCCTTCTCTTGCCTAACAGTATGAGCAAATGCCTACAACACGATGTTAAATTATAGTGGAGGTGGTGGGAATTTTCATCTTGTTTCAGACTTTAGTGGGAGATGCCCTCTTTCATTAAGTAAGATTCTGGCGTGGGCTGGTTTATTTTATCACATTTAGGAAATATGCCATCAATTCCTGTATAGATAACACTGATATTTTATCATTCTTTTTCTTCTTTTAAAAAAATTTGGGGCTGGAATAATTCTATGGAGAGAAACATTTTTATTACTTGTCTTTTCATTTTTAAACAGGAAGGACAGTAGAATTTATACTAGAGATGCCTCTCTCCTTTTAAATTGGCTTAAGTAAAATATTTGTAGCATTTGACTTAAGAATACAGTTTGGCTAATGTTTTCCTTAAACTAATACAACCATGGTTCATTTAAGGAAATCTTCCAAGAGTTGCTAACTAACATAAAATGCTGCGTTCATGGCTAAGAGCAGCCATTTGGATTGTGTAAACATTTGCACAGGTTTGGTGAGTCAGATGTTTGGTTTTAAACTACATTTTATTTATTAGAAAGTCCCACATATAATAAATGTCTTCACATTTCATTTTAGAAATATAGATAGTGAATTTAGATAAGAGGACCTGTGTTGTAATTTTGAGAATAAAGCATTCTTGTTTTCTTCCAATGAAAGGAAACTCAGCATACAGGAAAACAGTAATTTTTCAGTTGTTTACTTACCTAAAATGTGTTTTTACCAACACTAGAATGATAATTGACAGGAGTCTAATATTCTTATTATTGTTGCACTTCTGTATCTCTGCTGACATCTCCTGTATTTTCAGAGTTTTTGTCTTCCAAAATATTTTTAGATTGGTATTTAATACAAGTCGTATGCTCACACTAAATATATACTGTGACGCTAGGTAATAGGATATTGTTCAGGAGAAACCACCAGATACTGAAATTTCAGTAAAATTTAGTTCAGTAAAATCAAAACCATAGTTAATCAACAAGGAAGTTGATTGTATGTGTTATTTTACATTCAAACTTATTGCTTAATTAGGCATCCATCCTTTCTCGTAAAAAAGAAGCCAAAGCCGAAGAACTGCAAGAAGCAAAGGAAAAGTTAGCCAGCCTAGAAAGAGAGGTGTCAGTGAAGACAAATCAGACACGTGAATTTGATGGCGCCGAAGTTTTGAAGGGAGATGAGGTAAGTTAAGGTCTCATGAGACAGAGATGTGAGTTGTTTCTGTTTGAAGCCATTAATGTTTTTAACTTTTCTAGTTTGAATGTCAATAATAAAAAGTAATCTTATTTTATAAAGCCTATGTATTTAAAAATTAAAACTGCAATAATATTGAGCTGCCCTTACTGTAAAATAAGAGATTTGGTGTTTTTATGAGATAATGTTCCAAATTTCCACTTTTTAATTAAGTAGATTTATATTGGATTTATTTATTATAAAAATTAAGTTATATAAGTGAGCCAGAATGAACAATTAACAGACATGATGAGGGGCCTCCCCGGTGGCGCAGCGGTTGAGCGCTGGGTTGCGAAGCTGCCCGGGGCCTCTGCGGCGCCGGTTCGATCCCCGGCTGCTCCCCGGCCTCCGGAGGAGGGTCCCACATGGCGCGCAGACCTCTCCTGCCGCCCGCTGCTCCCTTCAGCAGTGTACTTCGGTCCTTCTGCCTGTTCTGCTCCCCGCTCTGGCTCTGGTGAATTCTCTCACCCTCCCGCGCTTCTGACTGTACCCAGTGCATGTATAAACAAACAAAGAAACAAACAAACAAATAAATAAATAAAACATGCCTCTATAAAAAAAAATATATATATATATATAAAAAAAACAGACATGATGACAAAAGTTCATATTTGTTGAGAAATTCAGTCTATAAAGGGCTGAAAAAACATTGTCACTAAGTAGCTTTGTCGGTGATGTCACTAAGTAGCTTTGGCCAGTGGGACTGGCACTTTTAAAATAATCCATTGTGTAGCTGCACCTGCGGTGGGGGGTCCTCTGCTTCCAAATCACTAACAATGGCATAAAACAACAGCACCACAATAAAACATTGTAACAATAAATAAATAAATAAATAACCTGTTGTAGATGCTTACAGATGTTGAAAATACAGTTACATCTTATACTCCCATATGCTTCAAATTTTGAACAGTGCCTTACCAACCTTTCTTTCATTTATCCTTCTGTCAGCCTCACACGATTAGTAGGACAAGTAATGCTGTCCTTTATAGATGACTAAACTGAAGTGCCAAAAATATCATTCCCTGTTTCCTTTTCATAAGTTTAGCTCAGGAAAGAAAGACAGAAAAGGAAGGGAAAGGTAGGGAAGAGAAGGGAAGGAAGGGGAGGGGAGGGGAGGGAAGGGAAGGGAGAAAATACCTTGTCTTCAGCCTAGCGCTTCTTTGAGCAAATCAAGTAGGTCATAGGTCGGATTTTTATTCCTAGGCATTGCCTGCACTTTGCCATCTCTTAGAGCGTTTTTATTTTGTAATAGCTACCAGGCCTCAGCACCAGCTGCTTTGAAAAGCTGCTCATGTCCAGACCTCATTTTTGGTTTTGAAACATTCTCAAGTTCACTTTGGTACAAATTGGCAGTGAACCTTCCCTCTGCCAAACACAAATGAGCTGTTCCCACAGCACCACTTTTCTCTGTGGCCTCCCGACATGCCTTTTAGCTTACTGGGGGAGTAGTCAACACTTGATTGAAAAATTTCTTTGACTTTTAACATCCGTTTCCAGATTGCTCTTGCCACTTTTCTCTGTGGCCTCCCGACATGCCTTTTAGCTTACTGGGGGAGTAACACTTGATTGAAAAATTTCTTTGACTTTTAACATCCGTTTCCAGATTGCTCTTAGACAAGGGAGTATTTTATTTTAAATGATACTTGGAAACCAACAGTGTGAGCCTCATGACATCATTGCTATCCAAGAAAAAAAGAAAGATTAATTATGCAGCAATTTCACTTTCTAAGAGACTAAGCTACCTCCTAGCATTTTAACCTTTTTTCAAAAAAATGCTGTCCAAATGAGAGGAAATACTAATTGCTATGGCTGCATGTGGCATGAATGGTGCTTGTAATTCACTATTAGTCCCACTACACAAATATGAGGAAAAAGAACCTAGTGCCAGGTTATTGGTTTTTATTTTTGAGAAATCTTGGTGAGTGGAAGTATTAATGACAGAAATTTGCATACTTTTTTTAAAGGGGAAAAGATAACTTTGGAAATGATCAGCGCAACTTAATTTTTAAACAATGTCTGGTCAGAAACTAGAACAAATCAAATAAATCATTTGGCAGTTACTTAAAGGAACAGAAGGTATTAGGGAACATTAAGCATAATTTTATAAGGAACAAATCTTGATAGACTAATTTTATTCTACTTGATAAGTGATAGGCCATATGGACAAAAGGAGAAAAGTTTGTTATACTTAAAATTATATAATATGACTGGACTTCACAGAGATTTCATTTGGTATCACATTGTAATCACCAAAAAATCATGTATTTTGCCACCCATCTGCTAACACAGTTGGTGAGAGGGGTGGAGAAGCAGTGCCAGGAGCCGCAGAGAGGAGAATGAGGAAAGGAAGGTTAACAACAGCACTTTTTATCCACAGCCGGGTGCTAGATGCTTCGTGTCTGCATAGACTTCTTTCCTTCTTGTAAGAAGTGTCGCTGTTATTCCTGTTTACAAGTGAAGCTCAGGAAGATTATAGATCACACAGATAATATGTGGCCAAGCTGGTTCCAGGTCTCTCTCACGTGGTCCTGTTGACACTGAACAAATCACTTAGCTTTACTAAGGTTTCAGGTGTGGAATGGGGGTGTTTGCCTCTCACAGTGGTTAAGTGGAACCCATGAAATAATGAATGTCAAAGCTTCCAAGAAACTCAAGACTCAGTCAGCACATGACATCTAGCCTCCAAAAGTAGTTTTTGTGGGCTGCGTGTCATCCCATACACCAGGGGCACTGTAGTGGTATGGTGAAGAGCAGATTCTGGAACGTGGCTGCTTGAGTATCCATCCTTGCCTTGTTGACCTTGGGCCGCTTCCGTAGCCTTTTTGTACTCAGAAGAAATGTTACTAATATATACCTTCTAGAATTAGTATTGTGCAGGGTAGCGAGTTAATACCTGTAAAGTGCTTAGTACAGCACTAGGCACATACTGAGTCCACAGCATTAGTGCTTAGTACTTTTGTTTTTTTTGTCATTCATTTCAATGAAGAATTTGAGAGGAGGAGTATAGTTCACTGCTTAAAAATTGAAATTAGTATAGCCCAGATTGGAAGCAGTTAGTAGATATAATAAAAGATGGAATATGTAAAAATCTTATTTAATAAAAGATGAAGTGTCTAAAAAAGGTAATACACAGGAATAAGGACAGGAATGTTTTATCCTTATTCTGCCAGACTTCTGACATAAGAATCTCTCAAACAGTTGAAATTATCTTCTCAGTAATAGAGATTTTCTTGCCAGTCTAGTCTATCTTGATTTCTTGCATTAGTAGTTGGTAGATAATAAAATTAAATCTAAAGAATATAGTCTCTTAACATTAACTAAAAATTGATAATAATCTTTTTATATTTTAAGGCTTTTTAACATTGAATTTAAATATAATAACAAAATATAAATCTGATTGAATTAATGTTTTAAAAAATTTTTCATTTCTTGGCCTCCCTGGTGGAGGTCTCAGGACTATCACTGCTGTGGCCTGAGTTTGATCCCCGGCCAGGGAGCTGACCCACATAGTGCAGCAGACCTCTCCTGTCTCACCTGCTGCTTCCTTTAGCAGTGCATTTCAGTAAATCTGCCTGTTCTTCTCCTCACTCTGTCTCTGGTGTATCCTCTCCCCACCCGCCACTCTCCACCTCTGGCCTACTACCCAGTTCTTCTATGCATAAATAAATATATCTTTTTTTTTTTAAATAATTTTGATTTCTGTTATCTCTAAGAGAAGTCACCCAAAAAAGGCCATGGTGTTTTGTACCTGCTCCTGACTCGTTTATTATTTTTATCAATAATTTAGATTAATAATATTAGTATTTATTATGCAATCATAATGTGTCAGACACTGTATTAGGCTTTTTACATACATTATCTCATTTATTTCATTGAATAACTCTTGAGATAGAAATTATTATTCTTCCTCGTTTTTACAGTTAAAGGAACTAAGGCACACAGATTTCCACTTACTTACCCAGGTCACATTGCTACTACTAATTGGACCATGACTTGAATTGGAGGCCCAGAACCCTCAATAATTTTCAGATGACAAAAATCTAGAAAAAATAGTTCACCTGTGATAGTTGATAGAGTGGCTACTCAAAACCATCTCAGTAGGAAGGGGTATTAAGCTGAAATAGACTGCCACTAGTGATGTTATAGTGTCATAGAATTCGAGTTTTGTCTGCCAGGTCTCAGCATCACCCATTAAAAATGCAGCTCTAAGGAAAATATACTATACTGCATTAATAGAAGTATGATACACACTTATAGTAAAATCATGCCTGGGATATTATTTTACATTTTCATTTTCATGTCTTAAGAAGGACATAGTTAAGCCAGAGTCTGCAGGAGGGTTATGAATGTGGGTGAAAAATCAGGAAACTTTCATAGAGATTGTGATTAACTGAGAACAAAAAACTAAAGAAAGACATGATAAAATCACCTTTACATATCAGAAGGAGTGTGGAGAGGATGGTGTGTAGAAAGGCTCTAACATAGCAGGCCTGAAAATGCCTGCAGGATGCTGGCATCTTGGATTTTAGGACTTCCCTCTCCCCCATTCCCTGATAAGGACGGCTCACTGTGTGCTGAAGCTGCTTTTATAAAGAGTGTGGTTTATGGGGAACACCTGCTTTCCTTCTGGGTGTCAGGAATTAGGGGGTGGACTAGAGAAAACTCCATGATTAGCCCCAGGTAAACACCCTGGGTACCAAGTCTCAGTGTTGCTAGGCACTGCCCTGGGTGGCAACATTTCTTAAACATTGTTACAGCTCAGAGCTGGAGGAATTAAGGGAAAGGACTCTTGGAAACTTGTTCCTGGTTTCCTCTGGTCTACCCAGCATGTAGGCTCTTCCCCTTGGTGGTTTGGTTTGTCTCCTCACTGTCGAAAGCATGGCCGGGAACATGGCTCTGTGCTGGGCCCCGGGAGTCCTCCTAGCAAGTCACTAACGTAGGCGTGCTCT